TATATATATACACACACACACACACACACACACACACATACACATACACACACACACACACGCATATTCAAGATAAACAAGAAATTAATGATACAATTCACCATCATGCTATGAAGTCTTCCCGTTTTATTTGAGGGGATAAGGGAAAAGGGGATTCGATAGTCAAGTAAATTTCTCACCTTAAACCACTGTAGCTCTCTCTACATTTGAAGAACTGCTCCAAATACACTATTGAGTCTGCTTGAAGGTGGTAATTTCGCGGCCAACTGCAAAACGTTGTTTCCAAATTTATCTTTTCTGACCATCAATAAATCTTTAATAGCTCCTGTGTAGTAGATGAGATTAAAGACTTCCTCTTATCAGTAAATAACAGCAACATGAAATATGGAGTAAAAATCTTTGTCGACTGTCCATATAAGATCAGGATATGAGCGGATAAGCAGAGTCAAAAGCTCAACGTTCCCAATTTTTCCAGCATCAGTAAGTATAGGAGTTTGATCAAATAGGTTTGAAATTTTTGAGCCTTCTAAAGTCAGAATCTGTTTGAACACCTTCTCTGCCAACTGATTGGCTTTTCTTCTCTTTGAAATTATTGAACCATATATCCTTTTGAAACCTACAAATCTTTGCTAAATTATTTCTAAAATTCATGTTAACTACAGTGCCAAAAAAAAAATGAAAATCTAAGAAAAAGGTGAAATGAATCTATATGTGGATCATTCACAGATAAAGCTCAACATGAAACTAGCATTTTCAAGGAGTTACTTTTAAAAATAGAGCAATTTATATTCTGATAATTTTGTGATAGTATAATGACTTAATAATCATCAGAAAACAATAAAACAAAACAGAAACACTAGGAAGGACACAAATGAGTTGAAAGGTGTAAATACATAAATGTCTACTATCAACTAGAAATTTTCAGGAAAATTAAGCTTGATTTTTTAATTTTTTGTTAGTTGAAAGTTAAAAACAAAATAGAATGTTCTTACAGGGAACACTAGGGACGATTCTAGCAAGTCTTTCACATAGCCATTCTTGAATTGTACCATAGTGTGATAAAGGTTTTCGAGCTAAAGCGTGTAGGGCACTTCCTTTCTTCGGTTTTGGAGTTTTGATGACTAGATATCTATCTGCTTCCAATATTTGTAATACGATATCTGCATATAAGAAAAGCAATTTTGAAACTATTGCAAACATAATTTTCAATGTCATCTTGCCCATAGTCATGAGCAGAGATTCCATACCATACATCTCCCTGTTGATAGTTACAACAAGAATGTCCATGCGCTCCTCAGCCTCGAAATCTTTAAGAGGCAGGGACAGAACCACAGTGGGTCCTGGTGTGTCACGTAACCCACCAAGTTTGGATTTATTTATTTTTTTTTGTTAATAAAATCGTATTCATTAGAACTAGAGGAGTCTATCCCATTCCAAATTGTAGTCGAAATATGAAGAGGAAAACCAACTGTCCCTCTGTAATGTTCGTCTTGCTTAAACTCTTCCCTAATAATCCTCTTGACTTGAGTGTTGCCAGCAATTGGAGACTTAAAGTCATCCACCAATCCATCCACCATCCACTGTGGGCTTGTTGCTGCCGATTCAGTCGAGTGGTGCTGCTGCCATTTCAGAGGATTTGACGAGTTCTGCTACTGTCAATTCAGTCATCTGCCATCTACTCTCGTCCAGACGTTGACAGTTGCTGCCATCGGTCCACTGTCCATTGCTATAGCTGTACCCTTACCAAATCCTAAGGACCCAAGATTAGTTACAGAGTCTACTGGTCTTTACTCTTATTTTGTGTTTAGATTTTAACTTACATAAACATTACATCTCCCAATCTTCGGACTCCCATCATGACAATTAGCTATGGCAGTGTGGGAAAGTGAAATTTGAACTGAAGATTTATTTTGTGATTTAGGAATCTATCTGAATTTGTTGAACTAGGTATGTAAATGTTAGGGATTGAATTTCTTGGAGCAAATTTGAATATATTATTTGTGAATGTGTTGAACTAGCAAAATAGGTATGTAAATGCTGGGGAATAGGGATTGGCTATTTGAATTTTGTTTGGGAACTGGAAATTTCATCAAAAATTAAAAATAAAGATAGCATTATTCGACAATTGTGAGATTGATATGCTTATAACTTTAGGCAATTATGAAATTTATTTTGTGATTATTGATAGAAGGATTATTTTTTCTCTTGAATTGAGTGTTTTATTTTGGTTGATTGTTGTGGCAGTTATGGAAAAGTACTTTAAGCGTAAATCCGCATTTTCTTGTGATATGCAAAATGTTAATGAAAGGAATATTCAAAATGAAAAGGGTGAAATGAATGCTGGGGATGAAAGTAAGATACGAATTTTTATTGATTTTTTCCTCACTTTTTGGAAGTTTGAGTATGCCCCACTAACCAAAAATTCCTGCGTCCGCCACTGTTAAGAGGTGTAATTTTGTAAAGATGTTTAACCATTTTTTTTTCTTGAGAAAGCTACCATTTCAATTGGGCTCAACTTGTTTTTGTCTCGAATTGTTGGTAGAATATTATTTTTTTCGTACATGAGCTTGGTAATTTCTACAACCCCTGATATAGCCGCAAAACAAAAAGCTGTATCATTATATTTATTCGTCAATTCCAGGTCTTCTTTGTTCAAGCGTTTGACTAACTTGCGGACAAACACAGTTTGCTTGGTGACAGCAGCTATGTGAAGAGGCCTATCTCCTCTTTCTGTTAGCTTAAGACAACCTGCATTTTTGTCTGATTCTAGAACATGTTCTGCATCCTTCCAGTCTCCTTTTATAGTAGCTTTATACATACGAAGCTTCCTTTCTTCACCTGATGAAGTCTGGGGAGAACTATCATTAGATATGTGTTAAAAAAGATGCTCCAAAACTTGGCGAGAAATAAACGTATACTATGTAACATATATAAAACTAAAGTAGAGATAAATCCACTTACATAATCAAATCTTAATTTTTACTAGCACATCAACTTTGTATTGCAAAGACTATTGCAACAATGTCCATCTTATTACTGTTGTATGCTATGTGTCAAATGTACAAGTTGGGCCAGGGACAGTTTGTGTGGGTTATTGCTGAAGTTGGTTAGGGCTGTATTTATTTAATTTCTGTTTTCATTTGTATATAACTTAGTCCAAGTCATGGTCTATAGAGCAGTTATTAAATTTCTTTTTGTTGTTAGCTCTTAGTGGAGCATTAGGAGTTCATGTGTGAATGTGTTAGAGCTTGTAGGCTCACTTTCAGTTTCTTGCATTTCCATTCTGTATTAATTTGGCAGTTAATTGAAAATGTTGATTTAGAGGACAGGCTCCCTCGAAGAAGCCATTCAAGGTGTGAAAAAGGTGATTTAGAAATCGAGAAATGTTGACACATATCTAGAAATCGAGATACGTGTGTGTATGGATTCTCCTCGACTTTGCCATAGAATTGGTGTCCATTTTGAAACAGCTGTATTACATTGGTCTTCAATTGAAAATTGGGCTGCCCAAACGGTGGATATACAATGCTGGATTAGCTTTGAATAACTTGAGGAGTCAAGAAGTCCCCCAGAATTTCATTTCCTTCATCCATTGCCTCTCCTTCGTTAGCTTGAATGACAGGATTGTTTAATTCGTTAACCATTTGTACTTGTGCTTCGCGATGATCTCTTTGTCGTCGATGAAAGGTGCGCTCAATTTCAGGATCAGCTGGAATCAATTCTCCTCCAGGCAATCGTGACATGCAAATCTGAGAATTAAAACCAGTACGAGCACTGAGATTCAAACAATTTAAATAACTAAAACACAAATAAAAGATAATAACTTAAAATAAAAATAAAAACAAAAACAATATTATACTAGCAAAATAAAAATTGAGTTCGAATTAGTGCCTCGAGAAATAAAATTAAACTAAACTCAATCCCCGACAACGGCGCAAAAAATTTGTTCACGAAATTATTTCTTTCGATTTTAAACCACCACAAGTGTACGGTTCGTTAACAAGTAATAAAGTGGATTCAATGATTCCGAATGTCGTCCCACAGAGATTGATTAGCTCAAATTTTATCTAACATAGCCTTAACCGAAATTGGATTGTCAAAATGGATATGGACCTAATTAAAAACTCTAATTTCAAGAAGAAACCCTAATTACGCAAATTTAATGAGTAAATTGAAACTAAAACTCAAAACAATATTTTAACACTCTAGAAATAAACTAAAAGTCGAGAATGCACGTTGTTATAATCAATAGAGATTAAATACGCTAGGAACACGAATTCCCATGCAATTATCACTTTAAACCCTAGTTTCACAATATGACAACACACTCAATTGTGACGAATCAATATTCCTAAGTCTATCCAATACTCTCTCTCGAGATGTATCAAACCTATTTCTACATACCACCGGTCTATTTCCATGACAAGAGCATATGTAAAAATGCATGCGATTTTATGAACACTTAAAGATTCACGTAGGGAATAACAGTATATTTCTATCCACTATCGGAGCCTACGATGATTTATATTATGTCAAATCTATTCCAATTCTCTCGAATGCAAGAATAAATCACTTAAATTCACACAATTATGAGCCCTTAATTGCGGAAAAACATTAATTGCATATAAATCATTCAAAACAATAAAAATTGTGTCTTAACATCAAATTGCAAAACAAGGATATTAAAATTCAAATCACATGGTTCATCGATCTCCTAGCATAATAAAAATCTAGCCTAGCATAGTTAAAATAACAAAATACATCATGTTTTGAATAAAAGATATCACTGGGTTATGAAATCTTGAAGAAATCTTGAAGTTCTTCGTGCCAATCCTTGTTCTTGCGCTCAAATCCTCTCCAAGAAGTGTTTTTTGGCCTCCAATTACGTTCTGGTCATCTTTGGAATGTTTTTGATATTTATATCCTGTGGGAAATTAGGTTACCAAAGGTGTTTCAATCGTATAAAGAAAGAAAAAAATTGCGTCGGAAACGTACCATGCGACCGCATGGTTTTAATCCGTGTGGCCGCATGGTTATTTCGTATTTCCACTTGAATTCCCTACATCCATTTGTGCGGCCGCATGAGAGTTCTACCATGCGACTGCATGGTAGAATTCAACTTTCATTTTCTACAAATGGGCCCCTCTACTTGAATCTTCCACTTCTTTACATCTTTTCTTCATTCTTCACATTCCATCATCCCAAAATGTCATCAATTTGTATTTGGCAAACTCAATTTCTTGATTTGTTCATCGGGTCAACTTTTGGGTAATTGCACCTTGGTCCTTGAACTTTCACTTTGTGTCATTTTAATCCTTTTTCGTGTCTTTTCTCATGTATTTTACCATGTTCATCGGTGTTACCTACAATTCACAAATGTAACGAAATTAAGTCACAATTCAATCATTTTATTCGTAATTAAGTCATGTTTGTAACCTAAATAAGTGTGCAAAAACACACTTATCAAACCCCCAAACTTGAACTATTGTTTGTCCTCAAACAAGATAGTGACTAAATTCTGAACAAATATGGCTTAATACCCTGCTACGACTTAGGATTGGACTAAGTGTTTGATTTGATGAAGATATATCAGTGCAAAAATGACATCAACCTTCGCCTGTTAAATGCGTACTTAACATGTGTGTGTGAGTTCATGCCAACATATTAGGTTCATGATGGATTTGAGTCCCGACCCCGAGTGGTCAATTCTATCCTTACTCGCTCGAGAGATACACAACCCCCCAAACTTATGTTTTTTTTCCACTCAATTATCCCAGGGTTGTGTTTCGAAACTAGGAATTCACATAGCTATAGTCTTCACCCTTTCGTAGTTTGGATTAATCTCACTATCACAAGTTTACATTTCAACAAGTGAAGGCTCTCCTAAGTTTGATCGCTTCGACACTCAAGATTAAACTAGGTTACTTGCCTCGCCTCAAAGGTATAGTTTCTTTAACCAAATGTCCAAGGGCTTTTCTTCATGTTATCATCTCTCTTTTCTCTAATTGTTCTGATTTTATTATTAAGCTTCTCATTTTTTTTCAGTTTCATCTTCTCATTTGCTTTGTATATAACCCATGTAACGAGTTTTAGGCCGATGACTCCCAAACCAGTTGGCTTTAGGGCACCAGGTTTTAAATCCTTGCAGGCTTATTCACTCGAGTTATAAAGGCTCGATCAGATGACTTTCAATTAACCTTTTTCCCTCTTGCTTTCTATATGACCCTTTTAATGAGCTTCAGGCCGGTGACTCCCAAGCCAGTTGACTTTAGGGCACCAGATTTTGA